AAGCACCTCAGTCGTGGTATTGAAGGTGGAAGAGAGTGCTGTACATTCACTCCCCCCACCTACAATCCATGCCGGTACGAGACTCGAACCTGCAACCTTTGGGTTACGAGTCCGACTCTCTAACCATTAGGCCACGACTTCCCCTTAATAATGTACATGCGCACACACACAGACACACACATTCATTGTAACTGCACATCTACAAAATATTTAATGCTTTGAGATTTCCTATCTAAGCAGTGAGGGGTACCATGAAGGTTTGTAAATTAAAAAGAATTTTAAACATGCATATATTTTTGACAGATATAAAACAACAATGTCTATGAATATTATAAGTATACTTTTGTTTGTTTGTGTCGGTTATCTAATATCTGTATATAATTTTAAGCATCATTAAGTGTCACTGACTGAGTTTCTGAGTGTGATGTTTTTTTTTTTTTTGTCTGTTTGTTTGGATCTTTTGACATGTAAATAGCATTGATTTTGTCTTATTTAATAATCACAAATGTCATTTGTTTTGACTCTAATTTCTTAATGGACGAATTTGTCTCAAATGTGTTAGTGAAGCTTTTTTTTGGGGGGCTGATTTTAATGTTTTCTGACATGACCTAATTGAGATGGGAGATGTATTCCCACTGTAGCCAATTGTACATTAGAAACATACACTCATCGTACAGTCCTTGTCAGAACCACATGCTTTTTTTTAGACTAGTTCTACATGGAGGAAGTGCCTATTAATATTGTAATGTAAACAGCGATGAAGAATTGATTTTAATTTAACAAAAAGAAAATTGCAGCTGTTATATGAAGCCATAATTGTATATAAAGGTATGAATATATAAATTAAGAAGAGTCTGTCATTTTTTTGGAACGCTGAGAGCAATCTTTTTGAGTTTTTGTATTGTGTATCACTGTGTTATGAGTTTGTATGGGTGAGAGTGTATAAGTGAGTCTGATATTAATTTACAGAACCGTGTGCTCACAGGAACTTGGATCAAAATGGCTAATCGGCATCTGATGTTATTAGAGGTCCAGAAGAACGTATATAAAACTAGATTTGCATATCAAGAAAAAACTGCTTTCAAAGGCATAGTAAAGTTAGGTAAGTTTATGTTTCGCATCATTTCTGTTCGTTAGGCATACACACAAGAATCAGCAGTCACTGTGCGTTTACTTTTATGGAAGGAACACTAGACCCTTCACAATCAAGTATGCACATTGACGCACAAAAGACAAACAATTGCAATTGTTATCTCTGTTGGTTTCAACATGAACGTTCTTTTGTGTCGGATCTGAATGATTTGTTTACAAAGTCCAAACAAGCGGGAGATTATCATTGGGAAACCGTCAATTTCGGACTTTTAGTAACAAAAAGCTATCATAACGCTTCAGACGACTTCAAATAAATAGTATGATGCCTTTGCATCAATTTTAAGCACAAAATCTCCAGTCCCCATTCGTCAGTTTTCTTCGTTTGTGTTACAAGAAAGAAACAAACTCATACAGGCTGGAACTGCATGAGGGTGAGTAAACAATGGCAGAATTTTCATTTTTGGGGGCAGTCAACTAACTCTTTAAAAAGACAGAAGTTTATTCATATAAAATGAAAGGAGTCTGAGTCTTTCCTGGCTGAAGTAATAACAAGATAATAGCCTCTGCTGGTCTTCCGTGTGCATTATTCCAGTTGAACTGAAGGTGAAGAGGGTGAGACGGAGGACAGAGGATCTTTTTGGTGTCGAGTCATTGACCGACATCTCTGGTTAAGTGAAAGGGCAGCATGTTGTCCCCTCTTGCTGGGTCAGGTCGGTTGTAGCCTGGGTCTCTGTGGTGGGTCCGGTCTGTTGAAGAATGTGGCTAGACACATATGCTCCCCATATGTTCCTCTTGATGGATCTGCAGAGAGGGATTAGGAAGAAAGAAGAAGAGAGGCCACGTTAGGACGCTAGAACACTCTAGGACATGAGTTCACTTTGCGGGACACGCCAAGAAATGAACTCCTAGACCTCTTTCTCACTGTCACATAGGAATCTCTTTAACTACTTCTAAGCTGTAGGGGTTTTATGTCATCTTGTTGACAATGTGTGTGTTCTTCTGATTTAGAGAGACTTTCTGTTCAAAAGCACCACTGTATTTAAAGTTTTCTTGTGCCAACAATCAGGTTTCTTCATTTAGTTTTTGGACATAAACCACACTGAGCTCTTTTAGTCCTCTGAAGATGCATCTAAATGGTCACATGGCCATTTTATGAGAATTACACTGGGATTTGTTATTTCGATATATTCTTTATTCTGCAATAAAAGAGAAATCCATAAGGACATATACAGTTTTCCACCTTTTGTGTCTGTTTGTAATATCTAAAAACACAAAATAATATATAAATAAGTCATTCTGTGTAATATGTTTAAGTGAGTTGCAAGTTGCAATGTTTCTTTTACAATTAAACATCTATTTGTGGCACAGGCTCTATTCAGTTTATATGCATCCATCCGCATACACACACCTGCGTTTCTACATACGTGCATGGACAATTTCTTTAAGATACAGAGACTTGGTTCATGCAAAGATTTCTTGTTCCCCCTTCTTCCCGTTTTAAAGTGTCCATGGTGAGGCTCAGGCCACAGTTTGTTCAAGGAGGAAGTGAGACTGTATGTCTCTCCTCAGCCAGAAACCGCCAGGCAAACTTT